GGGGGGAACAAGACAGAAAAACATAAAGACGTGTAAATGAATGGCTGGCTGGCAGAATGGAAGGGAAAATCATATGGATGAAATGATGTATGGAAGGATGAATGGGAAAGTCATATGGAGGCATGACAGGATGGATGGGAAAGACTTACGGATGAATGGACAGATGGACGGAAAGATAGATGCTTTAGTTTTAGTAAATGCTTAACAGCACTTGCAACACAATAAGGTCATATAAATGCCAAAGATTAGAGGTGTTACTAGAGAGTAACAAACACAAAATAGAAGGAGGGGAGATAAGGACGATAGATGTTTGATAGGAAAGAAGAAGTAAACCACATCAGAGCACCTGCAAATCACCCACAAGATGGGAAAGTAATTAGAAGGAAGGAACAGAAAGACTATAAAGAGACAAGTGGTGCACATCTGTGGAGGAGGGAGGAGGGAGGAGGAACTCACTTAAATTGTTCCACTCATCCAGCCCCAGGGTACTTGGTGGGAATTTTTAGTTTTTTTCTCAGTACAGGGAGAAATCCATCAAGACAATAACCACCAGTCTTTTAGTGCCGGGACAAGTAAAACAGACAGAGAGACAAATTGGGACAGAAAATAAGTAAGACCTACCAATGACATCCTCCAACCACCTGCCTCCCTCTACACTGCTCATCTCATCCAGCATTAAAAGAACACTCATCACATTTAGAGTCGTGACTCACTACAAATGTCTTACACCACCCATAAACACAATTTTAGTTCGAATAAGGCCTATACCGCACATAAACACATCTGTCTTTAGACCGTTCAGTCAGTTTTGTCGCAGAATTTAACTTCCACTTGAGCCGTACCACACTACGACTCAAACGTCTTAAGACTTTGATATGAACGATTCATTTCAAACATAGAATTGACAGAGACAGCATGTGTACGTGCTCTAAAGTTTTCAATCAGACGAAAGAAACATTTTTAAAAACTATTTTGGATTCATCCATTTACCAGTCAGCGATTACTGAAAGGGCAGTTATATCATTCATATGAAGATCTCAGATGTTATCCATATAAATTTTTCTGTTATTCTAAGACGAGCATAGAAAGCTTGCTCGAAGTGATCAGAATGTAGCTTGGCGTAAAAACAATCAGAAGCATAGGTGAGGCAGCGTGGTGGAATCAGGCTCTCGTCAAAATAATCAAAGTGAAGAAACTTGCATTTTTAAGCAGGTTTGTGAATTTT